AAAGGGTAGACATTTAACCATTACTTGTTACTTTAACAGAAAGTGTAGACATTTAATCAGTACTTGTTACTTTAACAGAAAAGGTAGACATTTAATCAGTACTTGTTACTTCAACAGAAAGGGTAGACATTTAACAATTACTTGTTACTTTAACAGAAAGGGTAGACATTTAACAATTAATTACCTGTTATTTCAACAGAAAGGGTAGACATTTAACCATTACTTGTTACTTTAACAGAAAGGGTAGACATTTAACCATTACTTGTTACTTTAACAGAAAGGGTAGACATTTAACCATTACTTGTTACTTCAACAAAAAGGGTAGACATTTAACCATTACTTGTTACTTTAACAAAAAGGGTAGACATTTAACCATTACTTGTTACTTTAACAGAAAGGGTAGACATTTAACCATTACTTGTTACTTCAACAGAAAGGGTAGACATTTAACAATTGCCTGTTATTTCAACAGAAAGGTTAGACATTTAACAATTGCCTGTTATTTCAACAGAAAGAGCAGATGTTAGAAGCACAAGAAATGTTTAACAATTCCAATAAGGTGACAAGACCAGAGAAAGCTCTCATCTTGGGTTTCATGGCTGGCTCAAGAGGTACGTTGGTAAATACTAGAAACGTAGTAAATATTTCTACATCACATGTTAATTATCTTCAGTCTTACTGTTTCTCTAAACATGTAACAGAAAGCATTTTGTAAAAATAATTGGAAAGAGTGCATATATTTTTTTATTGATTAGGATGTATAAAAACTTTTGTGTGTTAAACAGTATCACCTTGTTTTTTATTTGAGAGCGTAGTAACACATTACAAGTTTTCTGTGTTTTGCCAATTACATCATTTGTCTCCAAGGCACACTAACCTAGCCTAATGATGATATATATATATAACAGTCCACCAACACATACAATGAATATATTGTACTCTGAAGGTTTCAGTTTCTTTTTAACCATTCAAAAACGTTTTATAGAATAAAAATTTCCAATATTGGAAGTCGATTTTACCATTATAAAGTTCTCCCAGTGGTAACTAAAATACAAAGTTCCAACATTGAGTGAGAACGTTTTAAACATTTTCACCATTCACAGATGCTCTTACAGTTTAAACTCCAATGCTGACAACTAAAATAAAAATGTCCGAGTATTGAGAACTGTTTCGTAAAGTACAAAATTTCGACATTCAGAATTGTTCTTACAACAGAAGATACTGTTAATTAAAAATATCTTAATTAATTAGTGTTTTACAAGTAAAATTATTTAACAGAGTAAGTTATAGAGTATACTTACCTTTAAACATGTGTGTAAGGCTTGTCTTTAAATAGAGTTGTATGTTTGAGTAAAATGTGAAGGAATCTTAACATACTTTCTTTTTGTGAATCAGAAAATCCATGTCCTCATCTCGGGAGTATCGTAACCATAAAACTGAGTGAAAATGAAGAAACTATTGTTCAAACTAATGGAACTCTTCAAACTTTTATTGTAGAAACACATTTTCAGATGAATTATAGCACTGGAGAGTGGAAACGTGTTAAAAAGTTCCAAAAACTGGATGAGTGATGTTTTATTTTACTCTTGATGTATTTACTATGTTATTGGCCATAACATTAAAGGTGGATAAATAGATAGATATTGCTAAGGGAAATCACTGAATGATTACTTTGTAAATAAATGCAATATTTTTGTAATAAATTGAATATGTTTTCCAAAGTTATGAGTCTCCATAATGGTTTACCATTATGAAAATCTCTTAACTCCACAAAAACTTACGTTTTCCTATTTTTTTGTTTTTCAGGCTTGTATAATTTTGCAAGTAAGTTTAGTTTTAAAATTGAACGTGCTTTCTTGAAGAGTATTCACTATTAGCTTGTTTTTGTCGCACTGATTAAATCATTTCAGTTGTAAATAGAAAAAAACTTGTTGTATTTTTGTTTTCAGATGTTTATTTCGTTAGGCACTTTCTCTGACCCCAAAACTCGTTTTTTTTCATCTTGCCTGTATAGTTTATCCCTCTCAAACCAGGTAGAAATGAGGAATGTTTCAAATGAAATACATGCTATTAATTCAGATAAATGTGTCATCACGTGATTATACATCCAAGTTATGGTATTGTGATCTATAACTATACTTTGAAAATTGTTTATTGTAACAAATATTGTTGTGACTAAGATGTTGTATTTCATACCCGAGATCTGATTTCACTCTAATTTTGTTTTAGAATTTTAAAACCTACTTGTCAATAGTTTCGGAAATAAAACAGTATAGTAATTTGAACATCAGTTATTTCTTATTAATTTGAATATAGTTTCTAGTATTTTGTACATCCTTTAATCTTTCGTCAGTAATTTGTACATCTTTCAATAATAATGTCCACATAATTTAATCCTCTAATAATTATTATAGCATCTTTAATGTTTTAGCATTATTGACCTCTGTGCAACTTTTAATACCTAATAATTAGCACATTCTTTACTCCGTAATTGTTTGAACCTCCTTTCATCCTTTGGCATTTAAGTCTCTTCCAAATGTACTTCATTTATTGCTTAGTAATTAGAAACGTTAATAACAATAATTTATAATAGTTTAATTGCTCTTTCATTCTTGATAACTTAAGTCTTCTTTATTTCATAGTAATACTAAAATACTTCATTTTGTAATAATTCAATTATCTTTTAATCCTTAATAATTAAAGCTTTTTTATTTATCAATTTGTAATAGTTTGATTATCGTTTAATATGAGTATGCTCTGTTTCTTTGAAATTTGTAAATCCTCTAACCTATAATAATTTTGAATATGCATTAAACTTTGTAATGAGAACGAGAGCATCAAAAATATACCTTTTTTTCTTTAGTTACTGAGAGCATAATTTTATCATTCCATTAACTATGTGAAATTTCATAAATATTCAATGACGGGAAGGCAGAGATAACATTGTTGAAATCCGTATATATTGATTTAAATTGTTATTGCTTTAACTATTAAATTGCTCTGATGCATTTGAACAGTGTCTAATAATTTTGATTTAATTTACTTCTAAGAAAATATCAAAACATAAATGTTATTCACAGTTATTAATGCTGATTATAGATTACATCATTGTTAGTGTTACACAGGATCCTCTTGGTGGTTTGTAATTATAGTAATCAAGCAAAATAACACTATTTTAAATATAAATATCCAACAAGATAATACTGTCAAATATAACTATTGGTCTAATGGTTAGGGTGCTTCAGTAACAAGATGGAATACATCCCTAAACATACTAACCCCTTCAAATGTTATTATGTGACAGTCAGTTCAATTGTTGGTTTCATAAAAAAGTAGCCCATGAATTGTTGCTGGATGGTATTAACTACCTGCATTACTTCTAATCTGTTACTTCAATATTAGAAACACCTAGTGCAGAAAATGCTTGAATACCTATACCTTTGAAAGAAATTCAACACACAAACAAGATAAT